TTACTACCCAATCCTCTCAGCACTAGTTTTGCATAGTTAAATAGTTTTTCCTGATTCAAAATGAAAAGGGACCAAACTCCCAATGGCTAATCTCTTAAAATGGTATAATACATTGTCTAACTACTGTAATAAAAACATTTTTAAGAACACCATTCTATTTTATTCTACTTCATGTCATTTTGTTTAACTTATAGCTGAAAACCTGAGAGTGAAAAAGAGCTATGAGAATGATAGGTTTTTCAGAAAAGTTCCATAATCTCTCTTAGAGAGTAGGATAGGAACTGATGTGGATGTAATAGTTGGAGAGAAAAAGAAGAAGAAAAAGCTAGCAAACTAAGTACTTTTGAAGAAAGTGTTGAAGAAATCAATTCCAGATTGAAGACCAATTGATCCCATAGAGAGGTGAAAGAGAACCTGAAGCTTAAGAAAATTAATATTCTACCAGCCATGGGAAATCACCAGATTGACCCTTGATTAATGGAAAGAAACATGAGACATAGCTGTGTTAAATTTTTAAAATGGACATGCTTGCTATAAAGTTGAAATGTTACTATTGTAGGAAGGGAAATAATAAATTGCAGAATGGAAGAGCAATTAAGGTTACAAATTGGTTTACTCTGTTGATCACATAGCATTGTTTTTCTTAGAGAAAAATTAGCGGTAGTGTGTGGAGGGGTGAGATTGGGGGGCAGTAAGACAAGTATTTATCTGCTGCATAGTTATAAGCGATTGACAAATCAAATAAATAAATATAAATAAATAAATAAATAAATAAATAGTTCTGGTTGTGAAAGCCAAGTTCTTAGAACTTTTTAAATGTCATATATAAGGAGAAGTTTTTATATGAGAAAGTCTCTTCTGAAACCAATAAGTCAAGTCAATGAAACTGATAAAAGAGCTTACATGGGAGAGGCTCTTTTGGAAAACAAAGCAGAGTTTCATCTTTTTAGGTCTGTTGGTATAAGGTCAAATTCTCAGATATTTTAGGGAAGGAGGGGGGAAATTCCAAAGTAAGGAGCTTGTCATACTCTCAATTATTATTGTACATAAAATTGGCTAAAGAAAAGTATTCAGGGGAGAGAGAGGAAAAAAAAAAAGAGAGAGAGAGAGAGAGAGAGAGAGAGAGAGAGAGAGAGAGAGAGATGACAGACATAAAGTATATATAGCAGTTTTTGAAAAGCCTTACCAGATTTTTCATTCAAATTTCTGATCATTCTAGAAATATGAAGGATGAAACTGCTACTTGATATAATACTTTTTGCAGTAATAATGTATTCAGAAAAATTATTTAATCCACAGAGGACTTATAAATACAAGATATGATAAATTCACAGCATTATTTGTTTGCAACATAATATGCAGAATTAGACCCAGGCAAGCAGTTTTTCATTGGTTGTCATAATATAGAATATACTTTAGCAATAGTAAAAATCTTCTTCTTTACTTCCTCTTTTGCCCTTTCAGGTGGACAGGGAAAAGTGAAGTAGAGGAAAAAATACAGAAAAGTATACCGTGGAAAATATAGGATAGATAGATAGATAGATAGATAGATAGATAGATAGATAGATAGATAGATAGATAAGAGGATGGACGGATAGATAGATGGATAGAAAGATAGATTTACTCATAATTAGTAATAAATATAATTGTACTCCAACCTGTTTTTTCTCAATATAATTTCATATTGATCTCATTATTGAAGCATTAAAATTCCTCAACTGAAACTTGGCATAAATGATACTGTGTGCATAAATTATTCCAAGCAAAACTGGAAGCGTCATCTTCTGAATGGGTATGCACATACACATGCACACACACAGAGAGAACTTTTTAGATTTACTCAGTTCCCTAGTTATCCTGCTATCAAAAGTATTGGCTTCTCTATCATTACAGATCACACAGAATTGGTTCTACTTTCTTATTGAAGGCAATCAGTTAATAAACATAGGAGAATATATATTTAATGAGACCTCCCCCCCCCAGTATAATTGATCAGTTACTATCATTAGATCATGATGTGTTATCATTTTTTCCCAAATGAATTCATCCAATAAAATATATATTTTTGTTCAGTCAATTGGATTGTGGAAATCTTTTTCCTATCTAAAATTATTTCCATATTTTGGGAACTATGATAATTTCAACAGTTTCCATTGTGCTGACATAGTATTCTCTATGGGGGGTGGGGGGGGGAGAAATACAATAAATTCTCAAAATTACAAGACTAGTTCTTCTTTCAATATAGGAAAACTACAGGCAAAAGAAAAACCTGACACCATTGTGCATCCAGGATATAATCCAAACGTTTTATTGCAAATTTACACTCATTCCTCATTATATAAACAATTTCTTCTTCAGTATGAAAGACTTCTGCAGTCCATTGTCATTAACATATTACTACTGTACTTTTTAATTGTTTAGCTGCTTCTCCTCCTCCTCCTTCTCACTATTGTTATTAAAGTGGAATTAATAAATCAATCAATTTCAACATATTTAAAAGTATGGCTTTCTATTTCACTCCAGGTGTTTCCTATTTGCTCAGTTCTTTAACCATGAAATCTACAATGATACATTGCCTTTTTGTAAACATGTATGTATGTATATTCTAGAGATCCATAATTGCATCAATTCTTCAACGATGGGTCATCTTTAAACAACACTCATAGAAAAGCACGACCATTAGATGTCTGTTAATTTTCCTCAGTTATGGAAAATAAAGTTTTTATATATATTTTAAGTCAAGGGCAATATAATTTGGGTTCTATGGCAATACTTTGGATTGTATGTTAGGTTTTAATTATTTGTGCTAATTTATGTAATGAGGAAAAGTGTTTTGTTAGAAAGACATTTAAAATATTTTGAAAATATCTACTTTATCTGCTGTGCTCTGCTTATTACGTTGTCATTATCATTACAATGACAGAGTTTAGCTATAGAAGTGCTTAAAACTCATAGTTGTTGAGAAAGATGTCACCACTTTATTTACTAAAGATACGTTGCTGTGTAAGAAAAAAATGAAGGATGTTTGCATTCTAGATACAATGGCTGTTCAGAACCTTAGTCTAGCTCACATGCCTTGAAATTGGAAACATTTCCCTGCACACCTGAATCTAGTAGGACACTAAGGAATATGCTCTAATTTTAAGGGATATAAAGCAGAATAAATCATATAAAGCTTCCCTTCTTATTTCACTGACTTGAAGCATTATTTGCTGATTGAATCATCTGTCATAAGTATTTAGACAGAATGTAGAATGACAGAAATGACTCCTACAGTGCAGTGCAGTCAATACTTCTATTGTTTAAGATGCAGGGTAAACAATGTTTTATTCATTATGGATTTCATCTCTTCTTCTGGATATTGAAGTATTCAAAGTATAGACAGAATTTCAGAGGCTTTACTCCCAATTCTGCCTGCCTAAATTTCTTATGACTGGAGTTGTATCATTTTCCCAATGGTCTGGCATTTTAGAACAAACCTTTTGCTGCTCAGCTTAAAGGTGAATAAAATATATATTTAACAATCAAACATGTTTTAGAATAAATTATTTCTTTTCAATTGTATATGTGTATTTCAATAGATAACTTACTTTAAAAACATAATGAATGGAATCTTGAATGTATGAACTGGTGAAATGTTATTTTAGTTAAGTCAGCCATTTAAACATAATAATATTTATTTATTTAAGCTAGAAGACAATTTTTGTTCTTTTTTTAATACTAGAGAATTTCTTTTTGAAAAAACTAACACATTGATTGAGTTTCACAGTGGAGATGAATGAGAAAAAGCTGGTACACATTCTTTAGGATAAACATTAATTGTTCATTTTTAATACAGTGGCAGGAAGAACGAGTAACAAATATCAAAGAAATAGATAAACAATTTTTGAATATTTTCTGAGATCCCTGCTTTGTTTTCTGCCCAAAGTTAAAACACACAAACAAACAAAATAAACCCAAGTGGGATAGCATTATTGTCCTAGATTACTCTCTTTGTCAAAGGATTTTCCAAATTATTTTTGATTCTCAAGAAAAAACAAATGAATGATCAACTTGACTCAATCTACCATTGTGATTTGTCAAAAATCATACACTATTTTAAAATCTGTTCTCTCTTCCCTTTCTCCCTATCCTAAATATACTGTCACATCCTTTAAAATAACTAACCAAGCAGTGTTGTATTGTATTGCATTGCATTGCACTGCATTATTTACATTTTGAACTTGCAACTTTTCTAAGTATGTAAATGTGAACACGGAGAATAGACTAGAATAGAACAGTGGTGGCTAACATTTTTGGGCTCCTAAGTCAAAAATTGTGTGAGCAGTTGCACTCGCTTGCTCGCATGCCAGCACCTAGAAGTTAATGAGTACCCCCACACACACCCTACACTGTGCCTCCCGGCTGATTTTTTGCCTATTTGAGGCCTATTTTGGCTTGAGAAAAGCCTCTGCAGCCTGAAAAATAGGCCTGTTTTATCACTTCTGCTATACAGGAAGTGATGAAATGGGCCTATTTTTCAAACTGCAGAGGCTTTCCTCAAGCCTGGGAGGCCGAAAAAGGCCTCAAACCAACTGAAAATCAGCTGGGAGGCGCACGCATGCACAGTAAGGAAAGTTTACCTGTGGCTCGCGTGCCGGCACAAATGGCTATAGGTTCACCATCACAGGAATAGACAAATAAAAATAAAATAGAAAATAACTTGTCTGACAAAACAACCTTTCTGCTTTTCTTTTCTCCTCCCCTCTCATTTCTTTCTTTCTCTCTTTCCTTCTTTCTTTTTTTTAAACATTTTTAGATTATGTAGAATTGATATTTAGTTTATTGTTGTCAAACTATACTGGTTCTTTCTACAAACAAGCAATAGGTATCTTTCAAAATAAACTTTGAAGTATATAATCTAGGGACAAGGCTGTTTGGAAAAGAAAATTTACAATCTTGGGCAACTTTTCCACAGTTTTTAAAATGATTTAGAACAAACCTGGAAAAGTGTGGAAAAGTTACCCAAGATTTAAAAACTTGAACAAGGCATTCTGAAACTCTTTATTTCTAATGCTGTAAATGAATGGATTCATCATAGGAGGAAAGATCACATATATTATGGAAAAAACTAAGTCTAAATAAGATGAACTGTTGCTGGGAGGTTGTGCATAGACAAAGAAACCAATACAAATGAACACTGAGACTACAATTAAGTGTGAGAGACAAGTAGAGAGAGCTTTTTGCCGTCCCTGTACAGAACGGATCTGAAGTACAGCTCTGAAGATCCATACATAACTTATAATGATGAAGATAAAGCAACCGAATGCTAGGTTACAGCTCACTACAAGAAGAACACCTTCCACTAAGTATAGGTCAGAGCAAGAAAGTTTCAGTAGTTTGGGGATTTCACAGAAAAATTGGTCAACTTCATTTGAACAGAAAGTTATTGAAAATGTACTGCTTGTGTGCAATATGGCATAAAGGAAACCAGATAACCACACCATGGCTACCATTTTAATACAGGTTCTGCTATTCATTATTGTTTCATATTGTAATGGATTATAAATAGCAACATGTGCCATTACTGTTAAGAGAGAGAACTCAGATGCATCAAAGAAAAAGAAAACCTGAAAGGCACATTTAAAATAAGAAATGAAACAGTTGTTCCCGAGAGAGTTGAACATGGATTTGGGTACAATGGATGATCTACTCGTTGTAGAATACCTTATGCCACCAGACTTGAAATTCTAGAACTAGAAAACCTTGAATTACGCCATCTTTGGTCTGATTTAAGCATGATATATAAAATCATACATTGCAATGTCCTACCTGTCAATGAATACTTCAGCTTCAACCATAACAACACAAGAGCACACAACAGATACAAACTCAAGGTTAACCGCACCAAGCTTGATTGCAGGAAATACGACTTCAGCAACAGAGTGGTCAATGTCTGGAATACTCTACCCGACTCTGTAGTTTCTTCCCCAAACCCCAAAAACTTTAACCTTAGACTGTCTACTATTGACCTCACCCCTTTCCTAAGAGGTCTCTAGGGGGCGTGCATAAGTGCACCAATGTGCCTACCATCCCTGTCCTATTGTTTCTTTTATTTTTATTTTATTTTTCTTATATGTACCCATTTCATGTATTCATAACTATGTATACACTTATACTTATTATCTTGTAAACAATTGACAAATCAAATCAAATAAAAATAAATAAAATAAATATGGAACCAATATCAATAATTGCCAAGTTCATTAAGAAGAAGTACATTGGTGTGTGCAGGTGATGGTCAACAACAATTGAAATGATGGTGAAAAGATTCCCCAGCAGGGTGATCAGGTATACTGCTAGAAACAGGAAGAAATATAAGATCTGTAACTCTCGAACTTGAGAAAATTTCAGAAGCAGGAACCCAGAAGCAGAGGTAAGATTTGACATTCTGTTGTCTCTGTGGGAAGAAGAGGAAAAAGGATTAATTTTAAAAAAGGTTTTCTCTGATAATACAGTGCTCTTAATTTTTTTATATTTTTTATTTTAAAAAAAAACAAAAACAACAAATAAAATCATCTTCCAGCTCTACAACATGTCAGTTGGGTACATATATCTTGTGTGCATAATGATATTATCAAACATTTCTTATTTAATTACATTCATAACCATTCTAATCAACATTCTATATCATGTTATCTAATTATTATACTATCAATAACATTATAGTTATTATCTTTCATAAATATATTCCATCCTTACTAAATTATATTCTTTCTAATTTCATTCCTAATAAATAACCATATAATTTTTTAATCATCTTCCTTTCAGTGCCTGTTATGATTTATTTAATTCAGTCATTTCCTTATAAAACCCATAAGTCTTAGTATCCTTTTCATACCTTGAATGTATTTACAGATATGCATACCAATCTATATTTATCCCTTGTTCCTTTAGTTCTTGCTTTGTTTTGAGTTCACCCTGTTTATTTAAGATTTCCTCATATCTAATAATATTCTCCATTTAAAAAACATTTGGGTATGCAAATGCTTCTATTGTTGATAACCAGACTGGTATTTTCATATAATGATATTCCCTTACTTTCCCCCATACTGTTAATAAAGCATCCCTGACATAATGTCTCCTAAAATATCCATGTGCTCTGCTTTCATTATACCACAGAAATGTGTGCCATCCCAATTGCACGAAGGATTATTATTTTCTTTTAAAGGATTTCTCTGATAATACAGTGCTCTTACATTGAATCATTTAGTTTATGTTAACGAACGAGCTAAAAAGTCAGATGAGGAAAACATTTGATTTTTAATTCAGTTTTAATTTTTTGGTAAAGGAACAGTTTCTCAGACAATGTAAGTTTCCACTCTAAATATATATGGTTACAGTGTTTACATATGGGAGATTTCTGAACAAGATGACAAGTGATTAATGTGTTTTTAAAAACAAATTTAACAAATAGAATGAAAAACACAATTAATGAATAAAATGGATATTAAGATTGTCATAAAACACAGAATGAAGCTATAAAGATACGTTGAGAAAATCTACAGCTGTCATTGCTAGGAAAATGTTTCATTTTCACATCTCTGGTCATAATCTGATATGAAATTAAATCGTATGATCTGATGGAAAAGCAACAATATTCTTGTATTTTGCCCTGAGCATTATATTGTGATGTAATGACATGTTTAAAAAAACATTTTGCAAGCTCCAGGATATAACAAATAAAAAACTGAGTAATCAAAGTCTCAGGTTTAGGGAATAGGATGAAGAATGATGACAAGAACGATAATAAATTATAAATGAATTTACTCACCCTTCTTGCAAATTTCACTTAGATTTATTTGCAATTCTAGAATAATATTGATTTTCGTAACTGAGCCATGCCTTTCTGTTCATTGAAACTTTGTTTTGCTTCCTTTGAAAATTTCCAGATTATAAGTATTGCTTCTTCTAATCAATATTTAAAGGATTTGCTGCTTCTGCAACATCATCATGTTTGTTTTGACATGACATCAATACTCAAGAGTCCATCACAACTAATTAGAAATAGTTCCTAATTTTTTTTAAAAAAACTTGGTCTATACTTAGTTTTTCTTACTGATAAATTTATTGCATTAAATATTCAGCAGTCCCTTTGCCTCATTCCTAGTATATTTTTTCCCATTTATGGTCAGAGTTAAATACAGTACAATCTATACTATAAAGATATAATTATTCATGACAATCGTATCATTTTCATGCTGACTTTTATGATAGTATTTAATTCCTATTAAATAGTAGTGAACACTACAGCAGAAAATTTCTCAGTTGAAAAAATTCTTTTATTTGTATATTAGAAGTGATTATATTTTCAATGTTTCTTTAAGTAGTAGAAGAGTCTTGACAATTGTTTATCTAAATTGAATGTGTGATCTGAATTTATGGTACAGATGTTTAATGAAGTGTTTACCTCTTTAAAAAAATACTTTATTGAACTGTTGTACCATAAATTTATATCACACATTCAATTTAATGTTTCTCGGTTTAGGCCACAGAAAAGTTTTACCAGACTTCAGTCATGATTCAAATGAAATATCAGTCTGCTTTTGTTTGTAGAATCATGAGAGTGTAATTTGTTATTAAGAATTCATTCTCAAATGTATATGCCTCATTCAAGATATGTGTTTGCATGTTGTGTAGTGTGTGTGTGTGTGTCTGTGTGGCACACAACTTGCCTCTGCAGACTTCTGAGGAGCCAGTGGCAGGACAAGTGCCAGACACAAAAATCCTCTCCAGAACAGGCCTGCCATTAGTCCATACCCTGCTGATGAAAGCCCAGATATGCTGAGCAGGCTATGTTGCAAGGATGCCAGACCATTGCATCCCTAAACAACCCCTCTATGGTGAGCTATCTCAAGGAAAGTGACCACAAGGGGAAGAAAGGAAGTGATACAGAGACACGTTGAAAGCCTCCTTCAAGTCCCTGGACATTGACACCACCTCCTGGGAAATCCTGGCACAAGATTGATTGACATAGCACATGTTGATCCACCAAGGCTGCCAGACATTTGAAGACAAAAGTACAGCACAAAAGAAGCAAGCACTCCACAAAACCAGAGCTGCAAATGCTGCAACGATGGTGTCCACACATGTGGCAGAATATTTTGTGCCTGTATAGGTATTACTAGTCACCTGCAGACACACTGTGGCTAGCCCACAATCCATTAGATGTCACGATCCTCTTCGAACATATGGACAAACATCTTCATTGTGTATATACAAAAAGCCAAGATCACAAACTCAAATCAGAGGCCATCTCTTTGTATATGTGCACTGTCTTTATTTTAGATTTTCCTCATTTTTCAGGTATGCCTTCTTTGTTCAGTGACAATGATAAAGCAATATCAAGCTTAACAAGGTTTAGAAAGGCAGGAAATCATTGGGAAGTAATGTTGAACAGTAGAAGGGCTTTCATATATTTCATATTGCTTTGGTTTTCCTGTTCCAAATCCACATAAGAAATGTTATTCCATTCACAAGCAAGAGCACACTGCATTTTTATGGTCCTGCATTTCTTCAGAGACTCCATTTTGTTTCTACAGTGTTTCTTCTAGACCCCACTGGTGCCAGTGTTGACATCTAAAAATCAAAATTCTTAAATTAACCATAGGACACTGCACTGTTGTACACACTTTAAAGCAAACAGCACAACTCAGTTGAATCTAATATCAGTCCACATATAAGGTCCTACATCATGTAAGGCTTTAATGACCACCACCATGTATCTGGAACTATACTAGTAACCAGTGCAGCTCACAAGACATGGTCACCACTGATGGACCAGTTGAAGCTTGTGGATTGTTTTCCAAGGCAGACTCATATAGACTATAAACACAACACAACAACACAAATTTTATAGTGCTTGATTCATGAATTGCACAGACCAAAGTAGATTTTGGAGACAGATTTAACAGATTAATGGAGTTGGAAGGGACCTTGTAAGTCTTCTAATCCAACTCCCCACCCAAGCAGGAGACCCTACACCATTTCTGACAAATGGCAGTCAAGTCTCCTCCTGAAAGCTTCCAGTGATAAAGCTCCCACAACTTCTGAAGACAAGTTGTTCCATTGGTTGATTGTGCTCACTGTCAGAAATGTTCTCCTTATTTCTAGGTTAAATCTCTCCTTGATCAGTTTCCATCCATTATTCTTTGTCTGGCCTTCAGATGCCTTGAAAAATATCTTGACCCCTTCCTCTCTGTGGCAGCCCATCAAATATTGAAACACAGCTATCATGTTTCCCCTGGTCCTTCTCTTCAGTAGACTACTCATGCTGTGTACTTGCAACCATTCATTGCATTATATTCTGGAGTAGTATATACATTACAGAAAAGATGGAGAGATCATTTCAGTTAAAGCTAATCAAGTAAAGGAAACCACAAAATAAATGATCAAATAGAGAGGAATAAAAATGACTTATCTCCAAATGGAATAACAAACATCCTATTTATGCTTTCAAAGGTAACAAATACTTTCCATGCAAGCACTCATTAGTATATCTCCTCCACAGATATATCAAACTGATCCTTATTGAAAAAAAACACGTCTATAGGATGAGTGTACATCCCTCAAATGAGAAATGACCTATTGTATTGTATAATGTATGGTACTGTATTTAATTTTGGCACTGGTAAAATATATTGTACTCTGCTCACATTAAGTGGTGATCATCATCATGACTATGTTTATCCTTAAGAAATAAGAGGCATTGGATTTCCCAAATGTCAAGCAATGGAATATTCCACCCATGTTTATGTTTGAATGTTCTTAGTTCTTAGTCCCAGACCAATAGAAATATTGTGGGAGAAGGAATCAAATTTCTTGACAAAACCAATAATTTATAAATATTAAGTCTTCAGATTAATTCCAAATATATCTTCCTGCAGCAATCAAGCGGTACTAAGATATCATTCAATATGCACAAAGTTTGACATTGTCTTTACTTTCCAAGTTTAATGACTTTGAAGGAAAACATAAAGCAAATTTTGTTTCATCTCATGTTCAGTCTGAGGAAGTACATAGCTTTGTGTTCACTTTTATAGGTCAGTGAAACTGTGATATACTGTACATTAAATCACTTTGATATATGTTTCAGTGAATAAACAGATATTCATTGTAGCATTCATGTAGTATGTAGTATTCATTCATCTTTAAAAGTAAGTCAGTGCAACACTTTACAAGGCATTATCCAGAAAAGAAAGTCAGTTTATATTTAAATGTTTCAGGAGTTATTTTGCAACCACAATCTCTGGCCAGTTTGTCAATGTCCAAGAATTTCCACCTTACCTTAGTGTGGCAAACCCTTCTCTTCTTCTGTTCCAGTGTCATTGATGAGACAGTTCGCTTTTCAACTCTTGGATAAACATGGTAAAAATAGTGATGGTGGTACA